CCAGGTTCCCGTCGGTGCCGTTCTTGAAGCCAATGGGAAAAGACAGGCCCGAGGCCAGCTCCCGGTGCAGCTGGGACTCGGTGGTCCGCGCACCGATGGCGCCCACGGAGATGAAGTCGGCGAGGAACTGTGGCGAGATGGTATCCAGCATCTCGCTTGCGATGGGCATGCCGGCATTGGTCAGGTCGCCGAACATCTGCCGCGACAGGCGCAGCCCCTTGTTGATCTTGAAGCTGTTGTCGATGTCCGGGTCGTTGATCAGGCCCTTCCACCCGACCGTCGTGCGCGGCTTCTCGAGGTACGCACGCATGATGATGCACAAGTCGTCGGACAGCTTCTCGGAGAGCGCCTTGAGGCGCTGCGCGTACTCTTGCGCCGTTATCGGGTCGTGAATTGAGCAGGGCCCCACAATGACCAGCAGCCTGTCGCTCCGGCCCATGATGATGGAGACGGCCTCGCGACGGCCCTTGACTACCGTTTGGAGCGAGGCGTCGGTCATGGGGATCTCAGAGATGAGGAGCGCAGGGGGAATCAGGGGGTCCTGACCCAGAACTGAAAGATCGGTGTATATTAGCATCATGAAGAACCCTCACCTCAGAAGCAAATTAACGAAGGCGCAACAGCTTATTTGTCAAGGCACAGATAAAGCAACAACAGCGGCAACAATCCCTCAACCCGTTGGACTGACTAGTCGATACATGTATAATAGCCACAGCCCAATGTGAGTTAATGCAGAGACAGACCGATAGACATATGCAAAGAATCTGCGCAGACGAACGCACGCAAGAGAAAAGAAAACAAGGCAAGCGCAGCGTACCTCTCATATCATCGGCCCTGAGCGGCTCCATGTCGACTCCCGGCATACTGGGCGGTGCGGACGGAAACGGTTGGGTGCCACTGATATCAATGATGCGACGTTGAATAAGTGATTGGTCCTCCGGAGGCCGAGGGTTCGAATTGACCTCAGCGGCTGGGTGCAAAGCCGGATTTTGCTATACGACGACGAACCGAAACCTCGGGAAGATGCTTGATCTCAGGGCTGATTGATTGTGCCAGACCAGCTAATAATGGCAACGATGGGACTTCCGGGCAAGGGGATTGGGTATCTAGTGAGCAAGTATAAGATATAAAAAGAAAAAAGGGAGAGGTAGGAAAGTAGAAGTTTGCTTTCTTGAGTAGGTATGAAGTATGCAAGTGTGTAAGTATGTATGTATGTTGAGATTGAGAAACGAGTGAGTCAATCAGTCATAGAAACAAACTAAAGAAAAAAAAGTCGTACCTAAGTAACTTACGAGTAGGCAACATGGAGCTCCTGAGTCGGCCCACCCTTGTTTGGAGGGGTAACTTGCATCTTTGGGTTACAGTTACCTGTAGAGGTACCTAACCTAAAGTGTTTAACGATGTACTTACTGACCCAATTAGTACTTTCGTCAATCTTTAATCCCAGTTGAAGGAGCTACATATACATGTATGGGTTGAGGTTTGTTTTTCTTCTCAGCAATCGAGTCCATTATATGCAAACAAAATGTAGAATTTATACCTACTCTCACTTAATTAAGTCTACTCTTTCGGCAGAGGCTTGTTGCTGTACATATATAAATAGATGTCGTGTCAACCCAACATGAAGCCGGTGACGGAACACGAACCCTGGAGTCTACAACTGTAGGAGGGGCTTTGCGCCGTGGGCTGCAAGAAGGAGGGGCAATCTCCACGCTAGAGCACTTATCTGCTATCGATAGGCTATCTCGTTACTGTACCTAGTAGAAATATCACGTACACCCCTTCCGGGATTATAAATGGTAGCTTAATACTTGATCTACCCGATACTTTTCTACCTCAGGTACTGAGCCTCTATATTTTTCCAAGTTTTGTATAAGTAGTTGTAAGAACACCTTGTAGGTGCCCTGCGCGTCCCCTGTACGTCAGCCAAAAACGCTTTTAATACTGGTCTAAAATATTTATAGAACCGTAAGAGGTACAAGTATTACCCTGGTATAACCCTGGCAATACCTCAGTAACAGCCCTGGTAAAATCGTTGGTGGAAGTATCGAGCTAACATTCATAATCCCGGAAGAGGTGTAGTGTTACCTGTCTGATCTTAGCATACACCCTCCAAACTGCGAGTCTTGACCATTATAATTCCATAAAACCTCAGACAATTATTCTATTTTATGCCGTAACTACGTACTTAGACCTGATTGACTGTTGCTGTGTTCATCGGCCATTTCGTACCATCTGCTGTCTTTTTGCAATTTACTCCTCACAGACTCTAGTAGTTGAACTGTCCGCGTAACCCCCAGCTTGATCACATATATATATATATATATACTACCTTAAGAGGTAGATAGGCTACGTACCTAACATACAGTGTTCCAACTCACCGCCGTTCGAGCGTCGGGCCAATGGCAGTATGTGCCTACACCACGTCGCTTCTTCCCTCTTCTCAAAGGATGCATGTAAACATGGCCAAGTTACTTTTGGCTCCCCAAGACTCCTTCGACACTGACATGCGGGAATCCGCTGCTACCCACTCATTCGCTCACTATGATCATCTACATCTCACTACATATGCACAACCACCACCGGCGCAAAGGGAATAGCATATGTATTGGCCGCGCAAACAGCCACTTGCTATGGTGTGTTCTAGCTTGCAGCCGAGAGGCATACCCGGGACTGCATCCCTTTCCCGTTGTCCCGTGCACATGTCCCGTTCCGTTTCTCCTTTTGAACCGTCATCATGAATACTTAGTGATAGAAACAGTATTGCCGCTGAACACGCCACAGACAAACGCCAACGAGGTTACATCGTAAGTGGCTACCTCGGGTCAGCTAGCTTCAGCAAGCAAACCACGCTGCTTGTCACAGAGCACCGTCCTTCGCTTCAAACAGTGAAGAGACGGTGAGGTGAGGTAGATATTACATCGCCTTACCGGCTATGGCCTTCACGCCGGAATATGGCATCCAGTATTCACACACTTCTCGATTTTAGTAAGTCAAGGAAAGAAGAGCGTAAAATATATGCGATTTCATATTTACCTAATACACGCTAGATGCAGTTACGGCTAAATGATGTTTGAAAAGATCCCAGAATTTAACGGAGCTTGTTTGTCCGCAATTGGGGAAATCCCCACATCATCATGCCTCACGAATAGAATAAATAGAGGTCATCGTTGCTCGGAAGAGCCGCCTGTCGTCTTGGCATTCTTCATGCTGGCATCCGAGAACCCAACATAACCTGACTATTACTAGTTTCCTTCGAGATACTGGCGGGCATGATGAAGTCTAGGTTGCTATCCGCAGCAGCAGCTTGTCTACTATGGACAACATGTGTATTCAGTTCTCCACTAGGTGTCCAGAAGTTGGAGCGGCGACAAGATGCTGATTCTCACTGGGTTGCCACGTGGACATCGATGCCGCAATTAGTTGAGCAGAGTAATCTACCTCCCTCTCCCTATGTAAGTCCAACGGTCTCATTGAATGAGATATCTGATAAATGCGGCCTGTGCCTTACGTTCTGGTATATAGACGGGATCTGGTGTGTTCAAGGACGCCACGCTCAGACAGACACTGCACATGTCCATCGGAGCCGAGAGAATTCGCATCCAGATCTCGAACACGTTCGGCGGCAGCGCCTTACCCATCACAGCCGCATCGCTAGCGTTTCCCACGGGTGGCGCGGCCGGCGCCAGCGGCATCGATACGTCGACTCTCAGGGGCCTCACGTTCAACGGCTCAAGCTCAGTGAACATACCCCAGGGTCAAGTGGTCTATACGGATCCGATTGACGTCAAGATCGCACCGCAGTCTATGATCACGGTCACTCTATACTCTCAGGCCGGACAGTCTGGCACTAGCATTACTGGCCACCCTGGCAGCCGTACAACCTCATATATGCAACAGGGGAACCATGTCAACGCCTCTACCGTGACCGGGGCGAGCACAGCCCATTGGTACTTCTTGAATGCCGTCGAGGCTTGGGCTCCGAAGTCGACGATGGCCTTGGTGATTCTCGGTGACAGCATCACGGATGGCCGTGGCAGCACCGACAACATGAATAACCGGTGAGATCATCGTCCTCGCTTATGCCACGTTGATTCGATGAAGACAGACTGCCTAACTAATCAATTTGCGCAATAGATGGCCGGATCTACTTCTTGCAAGAATGCAGAAAGAAAACATCACCAACGTTGCCGTTGTCAACCAAGCAGCGGGCGGGAACACGGTCCTGACCGGAGGCCTAGGACCGCCACTAATGCAACGCTACAAGCGTGATCTCCTCGCGACAGCAGGCGTCAAGTACGGCCTCATCTTCGAGGGCGTGAACGACATCGGCAGCGCGTCGGCAGACTCGGGCACGCAATCCCGCATCAGCAGCAGTCTCGAGTCGGCCTTCAAGACGATCGCCACGGACGCGAAGGCCGCCGGCATCACCATGTTCGGGGCGACCATCACGCCGTTCGGCGGCAGCGGACAGTCGTACAGCAGCCCCGTGCGGGATTCAGCTAGGCAGACTGTGAATAAGTGGATTCTCGGCGGTGGCGATGGCAGTTTTGCGGCTGCGGTCGACTTTGCTAAGTTCCTCGCTAATCCGTCTACGCCGGCGAACCTGGCCTCGCAGTATGATAGTGGCGATCACTTGCATCCGAATCCGGCTGGGTATCAGGCTATTGCGGACCAATTCCCACTTACTATTTTCAAGTGAATGAATATGAAAAAGTCGGAGAGACCAAGCATGCATGCAAGTGTTATGGCGTGCTGTGTGTATATATAGGGGCTGAAGGATGCCGAATAAAACCAAGTATACATACAGACAGTAATTAACCAGCATGTGATTGATGTTTAGAGTTTTCGACAAGTTAAACAGTATCTAGATAGCACACAAGCAATGCTAATGTTACCTACCTACTTGTCATTAACAGCCGAGGAAGAGAAGAAAAGAGAAGGACAAAAAGGGAAACTGAGTATTTGTTGCTTGATATGAAGAGCAAAAGTCAAACACACGCCCCAGGCGGGGGTCGAACCCGCAGCCTTCGGATGGCCAGCCACGAAGTGGAATAAAAGTCCGACGCTCTAACCAATTGAGCTACCAGGGCTGTGGCGTTTTGAAGTCGTATTGAGGTTCAAGATAGCCGCACTCGCCGCCGTGAATGGACGTGAACAAGACAATCTTGTCGAGTAAACAAGATCTTTCAAGAAAATGGGTGGCCTACTACTTGATCGAGCACCTACTTTATATTTTGTTCTCTATGGAACCACTTTGAGGGCAAGGATCCGCTCTGTGTACCTTTGACCACTGCTACCAAGACCGCTTTGGAGGTAATAGTTTGTCCGGGTGTTTTGTCGACTCCCAGAGTGATGGAGAGCCTACATAGTCACATAGCAAGTAGGTGGAATGTAGTTAGTAGCCATATGTGTGGCTTTTAGCTCTTGTAATACGCAGTTGAGACGGATAACTCGAATATATAGACGAAGCCGAATAGGTACACACCAGGCTATTACCACTTATGCTATCATTGCAAAGAGGCATTTGTTTAGAGAGGTGTTAGTTACCTTGCTACTATTCCATAAAGCTTCATTCTCTTAGTTGCATGAGCTCGATTTTCCTCCCTTATCTTATAGGCGTATCCCGGACCCCACGTGCTAAAAGAAAATGCAAGATCCTCGAAGAAAGTTGAGCCGTCCACATTATCGGTCACACCTTTCCATTGTGTTCCAACCGTTGCTTCTGGAGAAATGCGAGCAACAAACACGTCTCCGCACCAAGGGAATTCTCCGTGCAAATCGCCATGTGTACTTCTCCACGCTTCCAAGAACGACCGATTGGGTCCTAGCAAAGCCTCAGCTCCTCGATAAAACAAGCGATAATAGTTTGTAGTCTTTCCAAACTCATATTCACTATAACCTGCACCCATTACCCAGTCGATGCTTTGGTATTCGTCCAGTTCCAGCAGTGGATCTCTGCCGGCTGTAAGTTCCGTCTTGAACTTGGAGTCCATTTTCAGTTGAAAAGCAAAAGTAATTTTGGAGTCGCCATAAACTCCAGCTGTCGATATATATTTGTATAACGAACTTGGCCATTCGTAGACAGCCACCGTTACGGGGCGTGCGTCTTCGGCGGAGCCGTCTGGGGGGATGTAAAGAAAAGGAATGCTAGCGAGAGGGAACAAACCCCACTCGGACGCTTCGATGTGTTTACCAGAGAAATAACCTAATCCAGGCCATGGTGTTATCCGAGCTGAAGATTGGATTAAAGGCCCGGAGGACTTTAGATTTGTCCCTTTGATGACTTTATGCTGGAGGAGAGATAGCATCTCATTGTACGCTATCTTGAGTCCTTCCGCAGCCTGAGTGTGTGAAAGAGTAAATTTGGATGGCAATGCCCAGCGTGGGTAGATCTTACGATGAGTATCCTTCATACTAAACTGAAAGTTTTGCACCATCATATGCCAGCATAGCCAACAAGACTTTTTGCTACAGCCGAAGTAATCCACGCATTTTGGCGCATTTGGTCGTAGAAAGTACGCCAGGAGTTGGATCTCACAATGCACAGGGGCCGTTTCCCTGCCATCTATGGCGACTTCTTCCAGTCGATCTTTGACGGCCATGTCCGTAGCACCATGCTTGGCGCCTTGCATCTTGCTAAAGGTCTCGACATCATCCAAACCTAGGTCGCCTTCCCAGGACTGGATCTTATGGAGGTATGATGCGCCATTCCACCGATCTTCCTGAGACGGTAGTATAACATGTTCAAAGGAGAATCCTTTCTGTTCATTGCTCTTGCAAAACTCGCCAAAAGTGGTGTAGGCAGCATAGAGTCTACCAAGATATTGGACCCCCTCTACAGCCTTCGTGAGACGCTTCAGTCCGGAATTTGAGGCCGATCCGTTGACCTTTTCAGAAAGATGGTGGAACTGTTCGCTCTTCCTGATTATACCAGCGAAGGCAGCGCAGTCGGCCAGTGGGCGGGTTATTTCATCTTGGGAATCAATGGACTTTTCGGCCTGGTATTGGCTGCATTTTTCAATTACAGACTTGATGGCTTCCCACCCATCCTTGCATTTCTGCTCCGGTTCAAGGGGCAAAGCACGCTCTAGGATTCCAACATCCAACTGGCTTATCCTGGCGATATAATTTTCTAGCCGTGATTGGTTGAATTTGCACATGATTTGGAAAATTCCTGCGTATTTGTGGTCTGCGTCCTCGTTTCTAGCCATGGAATTGAACCAACCCACTAATTGATCAGCAAATTCTTTGTTTTCATTCCTTGCGGCGCTCTCCTTTTCTTGAGAGATTGAAGCCTCAGATCCCTTGCTGCTTCTGTTCTTGGCTATGTAGAGCGTGATTTTCTTCTGCTCGTCATCCCTAACCATGGTGGTAGCAGAGACATGATCTCGCGCGTCCCGGAGTTTGGAACGCGCGAAGCAATCCGCAAGGTGGTCGAGGAATTCACGCGTTGCTTGGGGTGTCTTTGGTCCTCGAGACCAGGCCCTGCCCTCAAGCTCTCCCGCCTTCACATGGAGGTAGAGAGCAGCAGCATAGAACGTGTCTTTGTCAATCCCGGGAATTTTCCAAAGCTGGGACTCGGGAGGATTAGATTGTAGCCCGAGGTTTGATATCTTGGCCGACAAAAGCGAGGCACTTGGAGATTCCGGCTGCTCGGTACCCTTTGAGCCATCTGGGATGATGACGGGCGTTCCAAACCGAACGGATCGAGACATTTCGCTGGAGGTTATGTTTCACGTGTGGAACCTTATAAAAGAACATATACGCCTTAGATTGCGAATATTTTGAAATATGTAATAGTGTGATGAAAAATTGTTGGAGTAATGTACTAAGAGAAACCTTTGGAAAACCAGCGAGCCCCCAACGCAGCCCGCATGCGCTTACTCCTATCTAGGCAACACCCAAGTATGCCTATCCATCGAGCAGCCCGATGACCTGTTATTGGGACCCAGCTGAGCGACCTAATCAGACAATATTGAAAACTTTACCGCAAAGCTGTCTTTGCTCCGCCAATTGCATTGCCTCTCCTTCCATCAAGCCGTGAACATAACACTCCCCAACTAGTAAGTAGTGGCTACCGCATGGTCGGAGACAAAAAGGCATTTTTCCTCCGAATAAAACACAGACAATGTCGCCCACGTTCATAATGCCCGGGCCGAGAACAAAGTAGCCCTTCCATGACCTGGCAAAGGCGCGGTTTTCCGTCGCACCATTGGCAGACCGACTCCACTGCTCTGCGTTGTATTCATTATCAGCCTCTCTGGCAATCTCACGTAAGTCTGAGGCCACAACATTGGAACCTTCGAGAGCCTGTACGAGATACGAGGCTGCATACACAAGCCATCTTGACTTTGGAATCTCGCTGTATTGTGCATGTTCTCGCTTCGCAATCTGAACACAGCCATTGCTCAACGTCTGCATATACGCAAAGAGGGAACTATCGCCATTGAGGTACGTGTGGTTCAGACCGAAGTGAGTTTGGCCACATAGATTCCGCCAAATGTGTGTGATGGCTGGCTCGTGGTCTCTGGGAGAGCTATTGGTATAGAACTCTCCAGCCCCCAAGGGTTGAGAGCAGGCTTCGATAACATCAATTTCTAGTCCATGAATGCTCAACAGGGAAGTCTTATCATCGATCTTCAACTGAGGGCACGATGTCCCATGAGCCTTATGAGGGCTGTCAGGTTCTGTGAGGATGAATGATTGAAATATCCTCCAATCTGGTACCCACGACGGCAATTTATCCCCTGCATCTAGGCCACTTATTGTCTTAGACTTGACTATATTGCCACTTTCCAAGCTACTATGCTGCACAGCGGCAAGTGCAAGGAGTGCTGAGCCGTCAGATGTATCCCCCTCGCCCCTGAGTGCTCTCTTAGCAACATCTGTGTAGACCTCGATTACGGTCTTTTCGTAATTCGCCTTAAGGTTTCGTAGTTCCTCGTTGGGGCCATGACGCGAGAAATGGCCCAGGAATGCAAAGACACGGTCTCGCTGGTCGCTGAACTTCAGGCGGCGCGCTCGGTGAAGCTCATAGATGAAGTTGAAGCGGTTTTCGTGGTTCGCCCGCCCGTCAGGCTCGGCGAATCGTTCGAAAAGATATCTCACTTCGTCGGTACGAATCTTGAATTTGCTACGGAGGTGATAGTAGTCCTGGAGTCTCTCACATACTCTGGACAGGACCAGCCACTCGATCTCGGCTTCACCCCAGATTAGCGTGGCTGCTGCTTTTGTGCCAATCTCCTGGACTATCCAGCCCCGGGTAAACTAGATAACACGTGAATATGGTTGGTAAGGTCTTAAACTGTATGGTATTAGTAGGAAGTTGACATACCCATTCAAGTTCCATCAGACGATCCAAATGAACCCATGATTCTCTCGACTGCGTCTCCAGGTCTCTAGTGTACGCAAAATGGAAATCTATAGCCTTTTTCTCATCTCGGAATATATTGTCTAGCTCTATGATATATTGGAATGTTGACTTCGCGATGCTGTCCTTATCAGGCCCCAGCCAAACCAGAACATGCCCTGCATGCTTGTAAAGCCGGTTCATGAACTGTATTTGGTGGCTGCGCTCCCGGAAGTTTTGTTGATCAATACATATCTGATCAACCCAAATCGATCTCTTCTTATTAGATAGTCGTAGTCGCTGAAGAGCTTGGTAGAGGTTCGAAGTGACTTTGACTGCTTGTTCTACCCCTCCGCTATGAATAAAGATCTTATGATCTCCTGCGACAGTGCCCCAGACATAGGAGAGCGTTTCATGACTTCCGAAATCGGGAGAATCTATGCTGATAACGTCGAAAGTTCCCCGCAGCGAGTCAGTTTTTTCCCCGGGCTCCAAGACCAACATCCGGATAGACTGGCCACTAGGCAGCGGCTCATATTCCGTCGTTCGCGTGTGTTTTAGATGTGTACGGACACATGAAAGTTGGGTGGGTCTTGCGATCGTTTGGGACCTGATCATTGTGCTGCGTTCTTGGTATATTTCAATACAGGGACAAGCTCTCGTAGGCACCCACCTCCAATATGGGTCATACAGACTGCGGGATGGCAGCCCAAATATCCAGCTTAGTCACCGAGGTCTAGA